TCCCAGCACTTTGGGAGGCTGAGGCAGTTGGATCACGAGGTCAGGAGATCGAGACCAACCTGGCCAACATGGTGAAACCCCATCTCTACTAAAAAAAAAAAAAACATAATTAGCTGGGTGTGGTGGTGTGCGTCTATAATCCCAGTTACTTGGGAGGCTGAGGAAGGAGAATTGCTTGAACTCGGGAGGCAGAGATTGTAGTAAGCCGAGATCATACCACTGCACTCTGGCCTGGTGACAGAGCGAGACTCCACCTCAAAAAAAAAAAAAAAGATTTCATTACATTCATTATCAGTGCCTCTCCCCCAACTAGCATTTAAAGCACCCCACAATTTGGTCCATGTTCCTTTTCTAGCCTTGTGTCCTACTAACCTTTCTTTATCTCATAAGAACATATGTGACTGCTTTCATATAATTTCTTACCTCTGAGCTTTTTTATTAAAGTGCTCTATTCCTGTTTGGATTGCCCTCTTTCCCTTCCTCCCTGCAATATCTGCCCATCAAATTTTCACTCTTTATTTAAGGCATAGTTAAAACCTGACAGACTTCAAAGTGTTTCACAAGGTGTTGCAGAAAAGAATCTCACCTTAATAGTTACATAATATTTAATATAATTGCATAATATTTAATGTAACTATTAAATTCATTTTTAATAGTTACATAAAAATTTGTGTGTACCAATATTGTGCACTTATTGCCATCCATCTTATATCACAATTTATGTGTTTATCTTCCACATTTTCTTTCCAGTGCCTCGAGTGCAAGGGTCACACCTCATTCACCTCTGAGCCTCCATCTATGCGCTTTGCACATATTTTATAGCTCATGGGTTTCCTACGTTCTGGTTTGCTTGTAGTACTTACTCATTACCCATGATAATAGCTCACTCTGATTCAGTCAAGCACTGTTTCAAAAGCTCTGCATACATTGACTCATTTAAAACATGCAATGTGGGTTACCAGTTTACAGTTTACAGTTCTTATTCCCAGTTTACAGTTCAAGAAACAGATTACGTAAATATGCCCAAGGTAACACCGCAAATAAGGACCAAAACTGGGATTTGAATCCAGAAGATCTGCTTCCAGAGATCATTCCCTTGACCGCTAGAAGAAACACAGTAGGCCTTCCATATCTGTGGAGGGATTTGTTCTAGGACCCCTGCAGATACCAAAAAACTGTGGATGCCCAAGCCCCTTACATAAAATTGCGTAGTATATTCCTGACGTACTCCATACGCTATCGAATCCTTTGCGGACACAGAGGGCTGACTGTATATACAGTCACCACAGATCTTACTGTATTCTTTTGGAGAAATCAGAGATTTGATGTGCCACACACTGGTTGTGAAATTCTAGAGCTCTGATATCATAAGTCCTGGATTAGGATAACTTGACTGATCATAGATAAGTCCACTGCAAATTGTAAGCTGTTGATATAGCTATTTCGTATGTTTTTAGGCTGTCCAGCATCTTTTGATCACTCTTGCTATTTTTAGGACATCTCTGTTCTTAGGAATTCTTCTTTCCCAAGATACAAGCCTAGAAACTCAGTTCCCTGGAGTCCTTTGTAGCTAGAGCATAAGCAAGTGAGATTTTATTTCAGAAAGATTCTCACCCAGGAAATAGCTTTGGTGCTAGGCAGCAGTATGAAGCTCTGTAAAGTCAGTCCTAGGCAGCAAGGCCAACGGTGTGCCCCCCAGTAGTGGGGAGGACAGAGCCAGCAGCAGCAAGTTCCTCTTCAGCCAGTTCTGTATCATGGCCTTCCGTGTTATTCCAGGGAACATAGCCTCAAGCCAGTCCTCCACTCTTCTGTTAGCTACCCAGTATCCTTTTCTTCTTTAACAGCTTTATTAAAGAGAAGAGATTTACATACCCTAAAATTCACGCTTTTTAACCCAATATCTTTTAAATAAACTTATCTTTAAAAACTGCTTAAATAACCAGAGTCAGTTTCTGTTGCTTGTAACTAAAAATGCAGACTGAGTTGTTTACAATCGTAAATGAAAGGGCATTTTCTTTGGGATGCTCTGTTGCCGCTTTTATTATTATTGTTAAGTTATTTATTAACCCTTCTTTTTTTGTTTGTTCAACTGCATTTCTTTGGCACACTTTATCATACCCATGTATTCTTTATATGTTTTTTTTGGGATGGAGTCTTGCTCTGTCGCCCACACTGGAGTGCAATGGTACAATCTTGACTCACTTCAACCTCCACCTCCCAGGCTCAAGCGATTCTTGTGCCTCAGCCTCCTGAGTAGCTGGAACTACAGATGTATGCTACCACATCTGGCTAATTTTTGTATTTGTAGTAGAGACAGGGTTTCACTATGTTGGCCTGGCTGGTCTTGAACTCCTGAGCTCAAGTGATTCACCTGCCTGGGCCTCCCAAAGTGCTGGGATTACAGGCATGAGCCACTGCATCTGGCCCATGATCTACTTTTACATAAGAATATTATAAAAACGGCTGAAGTCAACACTAAAGTATGCTTTCTTAACAACCTCTACCTATCTGAGCTACCTGATGCCTATAGCATTAACTGTTGTAGCCAGGAGGTGGTTACCCCACTATGCTTGAGGCATTTGTTTTCAGACTTTTTTATATCAGTTATTTTTAATATTGTGTCACTCACATCTAATTTGAAAACTAAACAAGTTTAAGTGATTTAATTAATCAAGTGGTTCCAAGGCATTCAACTTAGTTCTCACAGAAACATTTTTCTTTCTTTCCCTTACATTTGATTTGCTTATGTAATTTTAAAAATTAAATTTTGTAATTAGATAATGCAAGTGGAAATGTCAAACTGAAATATTACCTGTCAGGAAATCTATTCTTGGAGGCTACTTCTGCCTAATGTCACTGTGATATAATATGAGACACTGCATAGCTCATGAGAGAGTGAAGGCTGTCCTGTGACAGCCAGGTTAGCTCAACAAATGTACTTTGCTTATCACCAGAGAAACTGAAGATGAACTGAGGAACCCAAAGTAGTTCACATCTTTAATTGAAAATTGACAGTTACAGCAGAGGAATGAAGAGTCCATCCCATATAAGAGTTTGGCTAAATGATAGCAAGATTAAATTAAAAATGAGAAGCTGCTGGGAGTTTTTGTTCTTTTTTTTTTAATCTGAGGTCTTAGGGGTTTTAAACATTAAATCCATCTTCTTAGAAATTTTGCCTTAAAATGGGCTGGGATGAATTTAAGACACTATAAAATATGAATAGTATTTTCAAATGGCTTATTTTAGATAAACCTATCACTTACCTTTTTAGCATTCAGAACTCAACCTAAGTCCTCCCATACACAGCTGTAGCCTATAAACCAAGGTGCAGAGCCTAAGACAGATAGGGCGGCTCAATGCTCCTAGGAAGTTCCTTCTAACAAGAAAGTAAATAAGATCAAACAATGCAGAATGGCTGTGGTATTTTTCAGATATGGGCTAAATTCGTCATGGTTCATTCCGAGCGCACTCTTACTTGGTAAGAAATGTTTCAGTTCACAAGAAGGTGTTAGGAGGACTCTCACTTTACTTAACTTGAAACTGTACTTTTGGAAAAAAGATAAAAGTTTAAAAGTTATTTTTCTCATTCTAAAGTTTATTTTTGGTTTTTAAGGACTCTGTGGTTTCTAAGAACATTGGGACAAGGCGTGCTTATTTTTTTATTTTTTATTTTTTTGCCATGAAGTTACAGGATAGCTTACAATTACAGTAACTAGCTGGTGGTTTTTAGGAAGACATGGAATAAGGTTGCATTTGTCAGTACGCTGTTAGAAATAGACTGTTGATCAACCCCTGCTCAAAGTCTAATGTTTAACTTCTTGCAGTAAACATCTGAAGGTCACAGCAGTCTCTCCTTGTAAGTTTTATGCATTACTTCAGTTGGTGAGGTAAAGGCATTAACAATAAACTACACATTTGATCAATGAATCAGTCCCCCACGCTTGATTTAAGGGTTGAAACTGAATTAAACTTATGAATAAAATCAGGCTCTTAGATTCTAAATTGTAAGTTCATAATAATTTCATTAAAATGTTTATAACCTCAGAATTTCAGTATGAAACCATGATTTTTTGACAGTAAGGAGTTTGCAGCAGAAAATAAAACCTTTAAATGGTTTATAAAACATTTTAAATTTGTTTGTTAAATTTCTATCAAACAGTAGGAACCTAAACATTCTAATAGTTGCTACACTTCTGGAAATAATTACCTTCAAGGAGATTAACATTTCTCAACTAGTTAGTGGCCCGGATCTCTGCTATTGTTTCTTAGTGAAGGGGCTATTCATTCATAAAGCTGGACGTACCCAACCGAACAAAGAGACCCTTAGTGGCTGTTCAGGTGGACTCCAAGCCAAGAAAAAGGATTGCTTCATTTCCTGAAGACTGAACTTTTGATCAATGCTGTGTGGCCAGGCTAAAAACTTAGATGGAATTTTAAACAAGGCAGTAATATCATTTCAGAAGCTACCATCAAACATCCTCCAATTAAGGAAGCAACGTAACAAGATAAATTGAACCAGATGGGAATTTATTAAGGAAATTCACCTCTATTACCACAAAACACATCTCCTGCCAAGGCCGATGAATATTTCACAAACAATAATCAGTTGTTGACTCTGGCACCTCTCAGAACGTGATAGTGGATCTTACTTACAAGTGTCAAGTTTTTAAGTAACCCAAATAGAATTGAGTTTTCAAGATGCTGGGGTAAACGCAGCAAAAAGACTGGCAAGGCTTCCACTCTCATGGAGTTTATGTTCTAATGAAGGACGCAGACTAAAACATCTTTTTCAAATATATTTTTACAAATGTGATTAGTGTTTCGAAGGAAATAGAAAAGTTACTGAGACAGAAAATAACAGAGGGGAACTAAATAAATAGGATGGTCAGAGAAGTTCTCTCTGGGTTGGGAAGTTTTCATTGAGACCTTGAAGATGAAAAGAAGCCATCCATGGGAACCTGGCAGGAGGAGGAATCCAGGCAGAGGCAGTGCAAGCACAAATGCCTTGCAAGGCAAAGGGCTTGCAATGTTATGGAAGGACTGACAGTAGCCCTACACGGCCACAGCTTCAGACCCTGGGACAGGTGGCACGAAGTGACGTTAGAAAGGCAGATGGGGACAGATAACGTAGAGCAGCTTTTCTCAAACAGGTTTGACCGTGGCTAATAGTAGGAAATATATTTTATGTCTACCCAGTACTCAAGTAAAACAAAATGTTTACATAGAAATCTTACCTTTACGATGTGTAATGCCTATGATATTTTCTATTCATTTAAAAATACTAATCAATATCCACTAAATTAATTTTTTCACCAACTTATGGACTTTTGCAAAAGCATAGATAAGAGTCTGGGAAACTATTGGAACTTGTTTTTTTTTTTTTTTTTTGAGAAGGAGTCTCACTCTTTTGCTGAGGCTGAAGTGAAATGGCATGATCTTGGCTCGCTGTAACCTCTGCCGCTCCAGGCTCAAGCAATTCTTCTGCCTCAGCCTTCCTGGTAGCTGGGATTACAGGCACCCACCACCATGCCTGGATAATTTTTGCATTTTTAGTAGAGACTGGGTTTCACCATGTTGGCCAGGCTGGTCTCGAACTCCTGACCTCAGGTGATCCACCCACCTTGGCCTCCCAAAGTGCTAGGATTACAGGTGTGAACCACTGCGCCTGGCCAGAAATCTTTAAGGAAGGGAGAGTTTGATCGATAAATGGAAACTTCATTTTAGTCACTACAGAAAGATTGGATTGAAGGCTAACAAAAATAAAAGTGGAAGGATCTGTTATGGTATTCTTGTCAAAGCTCAGATGAAAGATAATAGCTTGAGCTACATCTATGTTGGTGGCAATCAAAGTGGAGAGACATTCAGATTCAGGATATGTTTTAGAGGTAAAGCCAACAGGACCTAATGAAGAAGTGACTGGGTAGTGGTGAAGGAAAGGAAGGCACCCGGAGTTAGTCCCAGGCTACAGGCTTTAGTAGCTGAGAGCATAATAGTGCTATTTAATAGGAGACTGGAGTAAGCACTGGATGTATGTTAAAATTCCATTTTAAACATGTTAAGTTTGATTGACTCTAGTCATCTGAGCAGTTAATTACACAAATAGAGTTCAGAGAAGAAAGCTGAGGGTCAATAGAATTAGGGTCTAAAACAAACAAATGGTATTTAAAGCCATGGAAATTATGTGTTATCCTAGAGAAAGTGTGGATAAAGTTGAGAAAAGAAAGCCCTCAGGAAGGACTTCCAAGGAGCTCTGATTTTAAGAGGTAGGATAGAGAGGATTAAGATAGCTGGCAAAATGGATTGAGGAAGAGCTGTCTTTAGAATGGGAGCTCTGTCAGGAGTATGGTGCCTGAGAACCGCTGTAGTGGAATGTGAACCAAGGAGGGAAAAGCTTCATTGAGTACTGTTGAGGAACCAAGCATAATGAGAACAGAACATTGCTCATCTGGCACTATAGAGGCCTTTTGTAACCTTGACAAAGGTGTTTCCATGGCGTTGAAGGGACAAAAGCTAGATTAACCCTTTACCCCAGAAATTCCACCTCTAAGTTATAGCAAATAAGGAACTCGTGCACATATGCACCAAGAGAACCATACACAAAACTTTCATAATTGTTTTGTTCACTGGAACAAGAAACTGGAAATGACCCAAATTTGTAACTTCGAGAGAATAGATAAATTATGATATATTTTTAGTGTGGGATGAGTGCTTTAACGTCGGCAAGTACATTGACAAAAAACACACAACAATCAAAAAAGTCACAGAGCATATCTGTAGTATGATTCCATTTATACAAAGTTCAAAAAAACACATGATTTAAGCATATATAATAAGTAAGGGAATGATAAGCAAAACTGAAAAGGGCTGTTACCTGGGTATGGGAAAACTCAAAGATTAAATTCTATCTGTATTACACATAGATTTTGGTATATATAATATTTCACTAAAAATAGAGTTGTGTCCTGAATAGGTCTAAATATATTGACCGACTTGGTTAACAATAAGCATTGCTAGCATCCTACCTGTGGTCTCCAAATAGCATTTTTTACTGAAAGGAACAAGAACTCTCTGAAAAACGGCTGATTTCAAGATTGGGATTGGGAATACACAAGACAAAGCTAGAAAATCTTGTCTTTGGGGAACGGCTAGAGCTGTGTCAAAAGAACACAGAAGCTAAGTTGAAGGGATCCCACTGGCAAAGATGGAAATGCTTGATTATCATGAAGGATATTTACTGCAATTGGATTGAAAAACACATCAAATATACTTATCCTGCTTTTTAAATATAAACTATTACTGTTGGTTATTCAAATAGTAAGTGAAAGAAGTTTCTCTTTATAGTATTCCAGATAATAAATGAAGAACTGAGAAAATACATTTTCAAGTTGTTAAATTAATGGGTTTAATTCTCATCTACTGCTGCTAACATCACAAAAGAGAGAAAAACAGGCATTGTATGTCTCCTGATGAAAGAGCACAAAGCAACTGTAATGTCTAGCCAAAAGAACCTGAACCTGAACCCTATCAATCTTCTAGATCCAACTATTATAGAAAATACAGAGGATGGCTTTTTGTCCGACATCTTAGCGCGGTTGTAGTGTTCTCTGCTCCTCTCTGAGCTTCGCAGTGCTGCCCAAGGAAGACAAGAAGAAGAAAGACAAAGATCCAGTGAACAAATCCGGGGGCAAGGCCAAAAAGAAGAAGTGGTCCAAAGGCAAAGTTCGGGACAAGCTCAATAACTTAGTCTTGTTTGACAAAGCTACCTATGACAAACTCTGTAAGGAAGTTCCCAACTATAAACTTATAACTCCAGCTGTGGTCTCTGAGAGATTGAAGATTCGAGGCTCCCTTGCCAGGGCAGCCCTTCAGGAGCTCCTTAGTAAAGGGCTTATCAAACTGGTTTCAAAGCACAGAGCTCAAGTAATTTACACCAGAAATACCAAGGGTGGAGATGCTCCAGCTGCTGGTGAAGACGCATGAATAGGTCGAACCAACTGTACATTTGGAAAAATAAAACTTTATTAAATAAAAAAAAATATATAGAGGATGGAGGATATGCCACAGGAATGCATTCATTCTATGAAATCCAGAATGTGGAAAATTCTAAAAGACAAATAGCTCTGTTTTTTCAAAAACAACAAGAACGCTACAAACTAGCAAAAGAAAAATGAGATATGAAGGGAAAAACAATAGTTTCAAAGAGATTTAAAAGATATCTCAACCACTTCCAACATGTAAACCTTATTTAGATTCTGATTTGGACCAACTACTAAAATTTTCTAAGAAATGTATGAGATGATTGGAAATTTGAATACTAAATTGTGATATTATGATACTGATGATATTGAGAACTTATTAAATGTTTTAATAGGTTATAGGCATATTGTGGTTATAGTAAAGATAAATTTTACATTTAAAATGAGTTTCATTTGGGTGCAAAAATTAATCATAAATAATTTACTAAATTAGTTTAATTAAATGATTAGTTAAAATCGCTGATTAAATGTTCTTTCACAGCTGCTTCTTCCCAAATAAACTAAGGTGAGAGAAAATATGTACCTATGTATATAAACTTTAAAGTCATAAATCCAGAAGTATAATGTAAAAGATAAAGAGGGTCAAGTGCAGTGGCGCTCATGCCTGTAATCTCAGCACTTTGGGAGTCCGAGGCAGGTGGATCACTCGAGGTCAGGAGTTAGAGACCAGCCTGGCCAACATGGTAAAACCCTGTCTCTACTAAAAATACAAAAATTAGCCAGGCATGGTGGCAAGCACCTGTAATCCCAGCTACTTGGGAGATCAAGGCAGGAGAACTGCTTGAACCTGGGAAGCAGAGGTTGCAGTGAGCTGAGATCTCGCCATTGCCCTCCAGCCTAGATGACAGAGTGAGACTCCGGCTCAAAAAAAAAAAAAAAAAGATAAAGGGAAAGAAACAACAGACTTTTGGACTTCAAGGTAGATCAAAAACAGAGTATTAAGTGAAAGTTTCCTTGGACCATCCAATTTGGAGAGTGTTCATTTGTTATTGCTTTAATTTCCATTTCCCTAATTACATGTATCAATTAACAATGGGGATACATTTTGAGAGACTCATTTTTAGGCAATTTTGTAGTTCTGTGAACATCATGGAATGTACTTACACAAATATAGATGTTATAGCCTACTACAAACCTAGGCTATGTGGTATAGCCTACTGCTCCTAGGCTACAACAGCATGCTAGTGTACTGAATACTGGGAGCAACTGTGACACAATGGTAAGTATTTATGTATCTAAATATATCTAAACACAGAACAGGTATAGTAAAAGTACAGTATAAAATATTTAAAAGTGGCACACCTGTATAGGGCACTTACCATGAATGGAGCTTGCAGGACTGGGAGTTGTTCTGCACGAGTCAGGGAGTGAGCGGGAAGTGAAGGTGAAGGCCACAACAGTACTGTTGTGTGTACCACTGTAGACCTTATCAACACTGGACACTTAGGCTGCATTAAGTTTAGGATTTTTTTCTTTAATAATAAACTAACCTTAGCTTCCTATAACTTCATTACTTTATAAATTTTTAAAACTTTTGACTCTTTACAATGACACTTAGCTTAAAACACAAACATGTTGTACAGCTGTCCAAAACTATTGTCTTTCTCTATGTCCTTATTCTAAAAACTTTTCTCTAATTTTATTTTTTTAAGCTTTTTTGGTGAAAAACTAAGACGCAAACTTGCACATTAGCCCAGGCCTACACAGAGTCAGGATCCCCAGTATCTCTGCCTTCCACCTTCATATTGTGTCCCCTGGAAGGTCTTCAGGAGTAACGACATGCATGGAGGTGTTATCTCCAATGCCTTCTTCTGAAAAACCTCCTGAAGGACCAGCCTGAGGCTGTTTTACAGTTAACTTTTTACTTTAATAGGTAGAAGACTGTAAAATAATGATCCAAAGCATCATAAATACATATACCAGTAATATAGTCATTTATTATCATTATCGAGTATTATGTACTGTACATCATTGCATTTGCTGTACTTTTATAGGACTGGCAGCACAGTAGGTGTGTTTCCAACCAGCATCACCACAACCGATGCATTGTGCTACAACATTTCCATGGCTATGTCAGGATAACCATAATGTCAATAGGCAATGAGGATTTTTCAGCTCCATTATAATCTTACGAGACCACTGTCATATATGTGGTCCATCACTGGCCAAAACATTTTTATGGAGCACATGACTATACTAGTGAGGTTGATCATCTTTTTTATTGACCATTTAATTTCCTTTTTTATGAGTTGGCGGCTCATGTATTTTTGCCTAATTTTCTACTGGGTGGTTTGTTTTGAAATATTTTGACTAATTTTTTATTAGTCACACATGTTGCATATATCTTCTCTGAGGTTGTCATTTGTATTTTAACTTTGTTTATGGTGTCTTTTGTCATATAGATGTTTTTATTTTATTTTTATTTCTTTGAGACAGGTCTGGCTCTGTTGCCTAGGGCTGGAGTGCAATGGCACCATCTCAGCTCACTCTAACCTCTGCTTCCTGTGCTTAAGCCATTCTCCCTCCTTAGCCTCTTGAGTAGCTGGGATTATAAGCACATGCCACTACCCCCTGCTAATTTTTGTATTTTTTGTAAAGTTGGGGTTTTGCCATGTTGCCCAGGCTGATCTCCAACTCCTGAGCTCAAGCAATCTGCCCACCTCAGCCTGCCAAAGTGCTGAGATTACAGACATGAGCCACTGCACTCTGCCTTTATTTTTTATATAGTCAAATTTATCAGTATTTTCCTTTGTGATTTATGGTGTTTATGACTTGTTTAAGAAAACCTGCCCGGGCCGGGTGCAGTGGCTCACACCTGTAATCCCAGCACTTTGGGAGGCCGAGGCGGGTGAATCACGAGGTCAAGAGATCGAGACCATCCTGGTCAACTTGGTGAAACCCCGTCTCTACTAAAAATACAAAAATTAGCTGGGCGTGGTGGCGCATGCCTGTAATCCCAGCTACTCAGGAAGCTGAGGCAGGAAGCTGAGGCAGGAGAATTGCCTGAACCCAGGAGGCAGAGGTTGTGGTGAGCCGAGATTGCGCCATTGCAGTCCAGCCTGGGTAACAAGTGAAACTCCATCTCAAAAAAAAAAAAAAGAAAACCTGCCCCTTTCAAAGTCATAAAAATTTTCTTCTATATTTTCTTCTAAATGTTTTAAGATTTTACCTTTCATATTGAAATATTTAATCCATCTGAAACTGATTTTTGTGTAAGATTTGTAGCAGAGATCTAGTAGTTTTTAAAAATATATGAATTACCCAATTGTCACAAGATCATTTATTGAGTAGTTATCATTTTCTCCAATAATTTACACAGCTTTGTATTATAAGCAATCCTTTTGTTGGATTGGGCAAGTAAAAGAAGACTTTGTCTTTGTCAAAACATATTATTAGAAGAGAAAGGGATTAGATGGAGGAGAGAAATGAATACAAAAAAAAAGAATGAAAAAGACATGCTATTTGATTGTACAATAGGGCGACTATGGTCAATAATAATTTAGCTGTATATTTGAAAATATCGAAAGAGTGTAATTGGATTGTTTGTAACACAAAGGATAAATGCTTGAGGGGGTGGAACCCTCATTCTACATGACGTGATTATTTCACATTGCATGCGTATATCAAAACATCTCATGTGTCCCACAAATATATACACGTACTATGTGTACACAAGTTAAAAATAAAAAAATTAAAAAGAAAATTGAGGGAGAAAAAAAGGCCATAAAATGCTATACTTTAAATAATCTATAATGGCTTATTGTCACATTCAGTCTTTTTTTTTAGACAGAGTCTCACTGGGTCACCCAGGCTGGAGTGCAGTAATGCGATCTTGTTTCACTGCAACCTTTGCCTCCCAGGTTCAAGTGATTCTCCTGCCTGAGCCTCCCGAGTAGCTGGAATTACAGGCACACACCATCATGCCCGGCTAACTTTTGTATTTTTAGTAGTAATGGGATTTCATCATGTTCACCAGGCTAGTCTCAAACTCCTGACCTCAAGCAATCCGCCTGCCTTGGCCTCCCAAAGTGCTGGGATTACAGGCATGAGCCATTGTGCCCAGACCATTTTCAGTTTCCATTTTACAGAGAAGAATTTGTTCTAGAACAAACTGAACATTTATTTGTGCTACAACTGAAAACTAACAGAGAATTTATATTAGACAAAACAAGAACCTGTCATTTTGTGGCTAATGTGTTTATGCGTGGACTTAATTTTCATCCAAGTACTGATCAGATATTGGTTAAGCTTTTGCAGAAAGTGAACATATTATGAGTAAATTATCCAGATGAATTACCTACTTTTTATCTAAAATGCCTAATCACAACTTGCTATAGTGAAGCATTTGCCAAACCATGATTAGGAAAACCAGAGATACTCTGTTTGAAAAGTTTCTAAATTGTTAGGGTCTATGACTTCTATTAGTGGTTCTTTTAATAATTGTCTTGCAAACAGCTCAGATCTGATCTCTACTTGAAATAGCAAATCACTTTTTTAAGCATAATTTTTTACATTACAGAGGTGATTTTATGACAAAACAGTATATTATGAGCCAATAGCCATTGTATAGAGAAGTTAGAAAGCTGAGGCCAACAAATCTCAAACACTCTTTTCCCCCCCTTTGCACCCCTTCCGCCCATCTCATACACTCTTAATGCCCTAATACAATTTTTACTATTATTTTAGTGAACATTTTTGGTATCTTTTTCACCTGAACACATTTTTATTAAAAACTTTTTATTGCATTATACATAGACATGTAAAAATGAATTTTTATTTGATCTTTCACCTCAAATAGCTTGCTGGTTATACATTCTTTTACTATTCTTCCAGCAGTTGCACTACAGATGCCAACATGCATTTTGACTTTCCTAAAAAGAAAACTTGTAAAATACACACAACAAAATTTGCCATTTGGATCATTTTTAAATGAATAGTTCAGTGACATCAAGTACATTCACATTATTGTGCAACCATCATCACCATCTAGCTCTGGAATTT